AAGTTGGAACATTGCAAAAAAAAAAAAAAAACATTACGAGGATAAAGTCGGAACATTACGAAAAAACAAAATTACGAGAAAAACCCAAAAACATAATGAGAATAAAGTCGTAATATTACAAGAAAAAAATTGTAATATAACAAGGATAGAAGAAAGTAAATCTCTAGCCTGGCCCTAATACTCCGGCGTATATTTTAGAGACCCTTATTTCCATCCTGACACTTGAACCCATCAAATTTTAATTTCAGATTAAAATCAGCTCACCTCATGTGGAGGAAATGCCGCCTCGTATGTGTTGTTGCCCAGTAAGCGGTTGATGCCTGCAGTAAAGTAAGAGTAAACAAATGATTTCAAACACTCCCAGGAGAAAATACATTAAAAATTCAGCTCCACTCATTAACAAAAACAGGCCGACATTTTATGTCCCTGAAAGGAGTTATAGCAATTTACAACATTATAAAGCTAAAAATCTAAATTAGAGCGAGTGTAAGGTGGTGCTTCCTCCTTGTGGCACTTTCCTTGCTTCAGTTAACTGCAGTGATTGCAAAGTCTAGTGTCAATAAATTCACAGCACTGCCTGCAATTCCTCTACTGGCTGAAAACAGAGAAAGAGTGCATTTATTTCTCCAGGTGTTCTCTTCCGATAAAAAAAAAAAAGAAAAAGCTGACAGTTGGGGCAACAGGAGGACAGGGGGAAACTAAAAGAGATTTTCCACTTCTAAAGCCAAACTGTTTTTTTACACACTTGAAAAATCTAAATCTAGATAAGTCATTATTTCTTAAATTAAGTGCATTTGTTCTTGGATTGAGGAGGCAAAAGAGACGTTTTGCCAATGGAACAAGACAATTTACTGTTAAAATAAGAAAACACAATTGCATTGTCTTATTTCAAGTGCATATTATCTAATTATCTTATTTTAAGAGTAAAAATACTCATTCCATTGGCAAACTATATCATTTATCTACTCAAATTAAGGGGAAATACACTTAATTTAAGACATTTTTACTTATTTCTAGATTGTTTTTCCAGTGTACGTGTGTGTGTGTGTGTATAAATATATACACTGCAAAAAATGGAAATCTAAATGTCATTTTTGCTCAAATTAAGTGCATTTTTTCTTGAATTAAGGAGGTAAAATAGACATCTTGCCAATGGAGCAAGACCATATACACTTAAAATAAGAAAACACAATTGTGTTGTCTTATTTCAAGTGTATTTTATCCAATTATCTTATTCTAAGAGTACATATTCTCATTCCATTGGCAAACTATCTCATTTAACTACTTAAATTAAGGTTAAAAAAACTTAATTGAAGAAATGTTTTCTTATTTCTAGATCGTTTTCCTAATGTATACACACACATATATTGGCTTAAAACGAATAAAAAGAGAATATATTAAATATGAATATAATGTTGACCATGAATTTTCAAACCGTTGGGATTCTTGTTTAGTATTTGTGGAACCAAATAAAGGGTAGATGATTTTTTTTTATTACCCATCTTTGATTTTCCGTCTTCGTACTTGGTGCGCTGCAGGACATGATGAACTATTCTGCTTCTGGTGGAATTTGAGAAGAACGTCTCTCTATTGTTGATGGTGAAACTGAGAAGAAAACAAAGTCACGCTCCTTTAGTGAGGCATCATGCAGCAGAGCATCGTCCCGTCAAAGGCGTAAGGCGAGATGAGTCAATAATCAGTGGTGGTGGGGGGGGGGGTTACTTCACTTTAACACAATTCATGATGTCAAGTGTGTGCTCATTGCTGCATCAATATTCCACTTAGCAAAATATACAAGCATAATAATGGAAAGCTGGAAATGCTTTCCTGAGAAACGATGATAGCTTTCATCAGAAAGAAGCTTTTAACATAAAATAACACAAACAAATGAGTAAGAAATTATTTAATGGGCAGCTGCTGCTGGTTTTGATGCCTTATTTATGATGAACTGGTCTTGCCCTGGTTTCTGGGCTAAGAGCTGAAACTATTAAAAAATAAAAGCACAGATTGCGTCTCTCGCTTTCTAAATTCAGAAAGAAGAGATCTGAGAAGAATCTGTGAATGTTTTGCACATTTACATTTAGGCTGCTGATATTGTGTGAAACTGTGATCATGCTGGTGGGTTTTAATTTAGGGCACGCAGAGCGCTCTTACTGATGCATCCGTGCCCGGCTGAAAGGAGCCGTGTAGCAGTCCGTCTCCTCCAGGTCGGGAAGGGCCTCTTTGTCCAGCTTCATGGGATTTCTGGGAAGCCAGCTTTTCATCTGCTGACACCTCAGATGAAACCTGCTGCACAAGCGCATCGAGAAAACAGGATTAATGGGACAGATTATCAGGCAGATTGTTTACCTCACTATGGGATGATGGCAGCTAACCTTCAGCACGCCACCTTCATGGCTCTACCCCCACCACAAAACACCTTTTATTCCACATTTGTAGGGTCAACCTGCTGCTTACTTATTTTCTATTCAAATCTTTTTAGAATAGAACAGAAAATCCCTTTGATGTCCCACAATGGGGAAATGTTATTAATGTTATTTCCCCATTGTGTTATTTTATACCCAAAAGTGTATAAAATAACAGAATTAGTGGCAGAGTTGAAAAATAAATAAAATACTGTACAGAACAGTATTTTCACAATATAAATACTGTGCATCTGGAGAAACAATAATAAACAGCTGCTGACATTTTTTCAGTAGTGGATATGGGAAAACAGCAGCAGCATTTTATTTAACTGACTGAGGTAGAAACTGAGCTAAAATCAGCATGAATGGAACAACTGATTGAGGTTGCTGGGAACAGTGGTGGTTTTTACTTGAACTTCTAGTAATTCAACATCATTAACCAAAATTTTTAAAAATATGGTACTTTATTCAGTGTACAGTATTGTGTTAACATAACAGCTACAGCTATGTAACTGTTATGTTAACACAGCTGGGGAACTGATGTGTCGGTTTGGCCTGTTGCAAGAAAAACTCCCTTATTCACCTCTGGTTACTGTTATTATCCACTTGAAAATAAACAAATTGTTCACCTGCCTATCTATACCGTGTGGATACGCAGCATTAATAGGCAGAATGTCCTTACCTTGTATTTTCTATGAGTTTGTTGGAAAATAAGGGCTTCTTACTATTATGCTAATATCTATAAGTCATTTAGGCAGACACCCTGTCTACTTTTAAGGCTAGGCTTAAAACTTTCCTTTTTGATAAAGCTTCTAGTTAGAGTGGCTCAGGTTATCCTGAT